AAGCAGTGGCAGCATGCAGATAAACGTGACGCTGCTGTAAGCTGGCAGGTGGCGATGTCCCCGCGTGAGAAAGTCTGACAATAGCTAGGGCAAGACAAATGCACATTCCTTTGGTGCATGGTGCAACGAAAATGGAATGGTTATACCAAGTTCGAAAGGAGTTACAAAAGCGTTGGAACATTGGAGTTATTTAATACGTGTAAAGTTTTGACAAACTGGCTGTGCCAAAGCTCTGGATGGGCCCAAACTCCTCTGAGTCCTGTTGTTCCTGCTCTTCATCTGCATTCTCCTGCCGTGCATCTTCCTTGGATTGTCTGGGGTGTGGATTTGGGACCGGTGTGTTCCCGGTCAAGATGCCGGAGTGTTTCTTCTCCGCAAAGAGCCCATGCAGTATGGCCGCTGAAATTCTCTGAGCAGATTTTGTACTGCTTCGACTGCGCTCAATGGTTTGACTCCTCTCGGACAAACCACTGTCTTCGACTGGATGTGCAATCGATCCACAACATTATGTGCCTCACAAACTGCAGGGATCCAACTTGCATCTGAGACAACCGCCTTCATATACTCGACCGCAAGCGCCATCTTGAACATGTCTCTGGTGGTGTTCATGTTCTTCTTTTCTTCCATCTCCATCAATATCCTTTGGCACGTCTGGAGGCGGGGTAGGACCAACTCAGTCATTGATGCATGGTAGACAAGCTTGGCAATTGGCGCATACTGTGGCATCGCTTTGTTGGGTTGACAGGTCGAAATCTCACCGAAGGATATATTTTGTTATTGGTATGATCAGAATGGCCGTACATGTCACGCTGTGGGTTCATGATGGCAACTTTCAATTGATGGCTAGAAAATGATTCACTAGTGAACAAGAAGGTGCTTGGACTGTGCAGTCAACATAGCTCTGGAATATCAGTGCAGGCGGATGCGATTCAGTTGCTGCTCATGCTCGCATGTATGGATGTTTGTGAAAACACTGCAAGCATGCAAGTATGATGTCGTTGATAACAACATTTGTTATAGCAATCTGTTGGCAATCTGGATGGCGACTGCATTAACCATGGTTCATGTTTGTTATGCATGCATCGCGTGGCTCGCACGCTTTGGAAGGTGATACCTGCTGCATCGGGTTGTTCTTCACGGCGCTGCCTATGGAGCGCCCCAGCTGGCGTCGCTGCGGAGGCAATGGCTATTCCACCGATGGTCTGGTGGTGATGTCCGCAGCCGACTTGAGCTTTGCGGTATGGTCATGCTGGTATGGGTTTGATTAAGTTGTCTTCATTCATGCGATTAGAAATCATTAATATGTGTATATATACATATGGACATAGTACAGAAAGACAGCTGGCGTCGGTGACTCCGCTGTCTTGCGAAGAAGTTGGACATGCCCAAAATCTGTATGGTTGTGTATAGAGCGACAGCTGGTGGCGCTGTCCTCGCTGTCTCGCTGAGCAGCTCCCAGGACGTGTTACAGCCGTCGGCAATGGTAGAAAGAAGTCCCTGTTCCTTTTGCAATCTGATGATGATATGATTTTATTGGACAGATCAGCAAGAGCTGTTCTTATTTTCCTTTTTGTTTGGGTTGTTTCGTTGTCCCACACAATCGTTATTGAATTGTCTTCATCAAGATTCTGTTTCCATAACTCATAAAATGATTCGTCAGCTACAACTGTGCCTCGTGTGGTTCGTATGTTCTGGCAGGTGATGACTGCGTCGCGATGCAGCTTTGCAACACCAGTGCCGTGGAGGCACCGAGCGTGCTTGGTGCCACTACAGGATGTTTCAACACGTTTCCGATACTTTCTGGTTTGTTGATCCATACATTTTATCTTGTTGCATCGACGCCTGTGATTCCCAACACAAGACATTTCATGTGTGATACGTTCGTCTCGCATGGCTACCATGTCTTGGAAGGCGCTACTTGCCGCGCGCCACTGCGTTGCGACTCCAGTGCTGCTGTCGCGGAGAGAAAACAGATCCGGAGCAATGACGTTGTTCCACTGTTTTACGATAGGTTTGAGCATTGACATTTTCATCTCATATCATAATCGATACTTTAACATCGTTATCTTCAACATACGTGTGAGCATTCGGGTTCGTGGGCTTCATCTTGTTCTTTTTTTGGGTAGACCAAAGGACGCCGCCGGGTTGGCATTGTGTTCTGGTGGCTCCGCCAGCGGCGGCAGCGGTAGCAAGGTATCGGCGTGGTCGGCCATTTGGATCTTACGGCGTTTGGCCGGTTCACTGTGTGATAGCTGGCACGTCTGGCACGTCCAGTCCGGCATAAATTTGGCATGATATTTGTCTTTGTTACTGCCGCCGCTGCTCGGGCGCGGTCTACCACAGCCGGCTGCGCAGGGCGGAAAGGCACACCCGTGGCACCAGCCGTGGAAATGCGGGCGGCCGACCATTGCTTGCTTGCATACTGCGCACTTGGGACCACGCTCTGCGCACTGCGGACACGCGGCGTCGGGTCCGCCGCCCGCGTCTTCACCCAAGGGATTGGCTTGGCACATCGGACAGCTTTCTAGGGCACACTGTGCGCATCGCCAAAAGGGGCGATTCTTAGCGTGGTACGTGTGGGTTCCGCCGGGCCTGGCTACTTGCTGACAACCTGCGCACGGTAGATACGTACAGCTCTGACACCACGTGCCTAGTTTCGACATCCCTTGCACCGGTTGGCTGCACTGTGGACAGCAGGCTGGGCATAGCCACACTGGTCTGTTTTTGGCGTGGTACGCGCCTCCAAGTAGGCCGCTTCACTTTTTGGCAACCTGCACACGATGGATAGGCGCAGCTCTGGCACCACGAGCCCGGCGCCGCCGCTCGTTTCAAAGGTGCGCTGCACTGTGGGCAGACCTTGGTGGTCGCTGCCTCCAAGTCGGTTGCCTGCCGCCAACATTTGCGACAAATGCCGTCGTTGGCTTTGGAGTCATACTGGCGCAAGTGGGACACGCTTACGAGGTTCCGACACGTGCGGCACTGCCCGGCTTTGGCTTTAAACTTGTTAGGTTGATGCAGCTCGCACTTCATGCAGCGGGCTCGTCGCAGGTCGCGGTGTTTTGTGCAGCGTTAAATTTCCGCGGGGCTGAAGTCCGCCAAGGTCTTGTGTTTGAGTTTTCGACCTACGTCACAGCAGGCACAGGCCCATCTTGCTTCCGACAGGCATTACTTGCAAAAACCGAGTTTCGGAAGTGGGGTTTTGTTACAAAATGCACACTTGCTGGAGGCGTCGGCTTCGGCGCTGGTGGGGTTTCCGGACGGCTGTGGGTGGCGGCACTGGCTGCACAAGCGTTCCATGCCGAGACACACGATCTCCAACCAAGCATCCGGCTACCACAAATTGTTACTGGTAAAGTCACGCAACGGCTTGACCAACCCTCTGGCGGATCACGGCTTCAAACATGCCACGACAGACAATGTGTTCACTGCCCACATGCCGTTTTCCGTTCCTGACAGACGCGTCGCGCTGGTCGACCTGAGCAACGCTCTGACACGCGCTTGAGCAACGCTCTGGCTGACCAAAGGTCCTGCACCCTGCCTGTCGACAGGACAACAACAACAACAAAAACAACAACAACAACAACAACAACAACAACAACAACAAGCAACAGCAACAACAACCACAACCACAACCACCACCACAACCACAACAACAACCACGACAACCCACAACCACAACCGCAACCACAACCACGATCACAACAACAACCACAACCACAGCCACAACCAACAACAACCACAACAACAACAACAGCAACAACAACAACAACAACAACAACAACAACAACAACAACCACACCAACCAGTCTTGGTCCCTACAAGAACACTACACCCACGTCCGCCGCCACGGCCCCCATGGTTGGGCCCCTGGCCGGCTGTTGCGCGTAAGCGCTTAATCCGGCGATGCCGTCGCATGATGGTAGCTAATCCTAGCTTTAGCTACCCGGGGGCGCGCCGGTGCCGCCGACCTTTTTGAAAATCCTTCAGGGTGCTGGGGTTTTCACGTTTTTCGGGGTCTGGGGTGGACAAAAAGAGGGTGAAATTTGAAGATGCGTTTTGGAGGGCCTAAAATCGGACACATTTTTCGGACGATTTTTCGCTTTTCGGAAGTCACAAAATGCTGTAAATTACAACATTTTTGCGTTTTAACGTCGTTTGCGTTTTAACGTCGTTGGCGGGAGCCATGCAAAAACGCAGAAAATGCTGTAAATACCAGTACTTTTTGGACCCGAAATTCACAAAACACTGCAAATACCAGTCTTTTTGAAAGCCAAGCAAAAAAACACTGTACATTACGGCATTTTTGGCGGGTTGATCGCAAAAAATGCTGGTATTTACAATGTTTCTGCAATTTCAAGCAAACGTAGAAGGCACGAAACACTGTAAATAGCGGTGTTTTGGCCACTTTTAGACGCCGAAACGCTGGTATTTACGCAGTTTTTTGCTTGTGATAGGGCCACCCCCCTGTAAATTACAGCATTTTTTACGCTTTTTGAACCGATTTTTTGTCTTGATGAATGCAAAAAACGCTGGTATTTACACGTTTTTCAAAAAATCGACGATCGTGATGTGAACCAAACTCTGTCAATAAGAGTGTTTTAGCCACTTTCGGGGACTAAAACTGTGGTATTTACACGGGTTCTTGCCATCTCACAGCGCAAAATGCTGTAACTTACAACACTTTGTGCGCATAGGCATAGGCCAACATAGCCTCAAGATGGGCCAACATAGCCCCAAGCTGGGCCAACATAGCCCCAAGATAGGCCACCGACCCTCAGCATGTCATGTTCGCAAGTTCAGATGACATCCCCCTCTCTCTTTCCCTCCCCCGATCCCTACCGGCATCGCCGGTATGCGAAGCTCTACAATAAAGAGGATCTCAGAATTGTTTTGGGGGGGTACCTCTACACTAATCAGCATCCAACACTAATAGATTTTGACCCGTCCCAATTGGATGTAGGCAACGGACCTTCAACTGACAGGTCTCATCGTGCACGTGGCTATGGGCCAGGAAAACGAGAAGCACGAGCCTCATGATGCAACAATCGTTGAATTTCCAATAATCATTCGATCCAATGGGTTGGTTTCAGAGAAAATTCAGGAAACCAGGTTTTCCCCATGATTTATATAGGAGGTTCCTGTAAAATCTCCCTCAAACCAATCTAGTGTTGAATAGTAATAAAACCATGTGACAACATGATATAATGAAGAAACACGGTACATAGCATAGCTCCATTATCACCTCTTACCGTAGGTGCGCCTTTTGCTACCCCAAAAGAAAGTGCAAGCAGAAATTTCGAATCTGCTCCTAGGTTCACTGCTGGCTTGAGAATTTTCGTCCAAGTGCACCAGTTACACTTCTCGGTTTGATGCTATGTTACTGTGGAGTTGTGCAGATTCATGTATAGGTTTTGTATGTGCGTCTCCCTTTCTGCCACAAATCATTGGAAAACACAGTGTTTCGCGACTTCCTACCTTTTCGCGCACCTGCATCTTCTTTCTTCTGACTCTTTCTCTTCTCTGATCTTCTCTCTTCTACTCTTCTCTTCTCTCTGACTCTGCTCATCTCTGCTTTTCATCTGTCCATATTGTCAGAAGTTTGACTTCTAAACTTCCTTCGATCATTCCCAATACATAGGAGATATGACGAATGTAATGGATGTCACGAGTATGCTTTGACCCTGCCCTACTGACACAACATGACGCAATTTTCAACACAGGAGTAGCTGACTAAACTTCTAGCAAACAAATAATATGTGGGTAAATTATACATTTCACAATCCTGAAATAAGGCTGTTGCACGTTTGGGCTTATTCCCCTTACCAACCATCATTCCAGTGAGGTCGCAACGTAAGGTCGTTATAATTTACCCGGCAGAAACTCTCTTGGCAGCCGTGCACTCTCTTGGCAGCCGTGCACATTTGCCAGTTCTTCACGGTTCATGTTCTGGCCAATGACCTGAGCTGGTGAAGCTCTTTGAAAAAACGACTTCGGGTAAGGTCGTCGGACAAATCAAAAAATGACAACGGGACACGATAGCCTTGTCAGTCTGCTCATCAGAAATAGCTTCATCATCTTCATCTCAACTAAGTCAAGAGATTGAGGAAATGTTCTGAGTATATATTTCTGAGTTGCAGGCTGAATAGATGTCCTTGAAGTAGATGCTGGCGTGTGCCAACAAGCAACAAATGTCCTGCCAAGCCGCAATGAATGAAGCACAGCAACCAGAAACTCTGCTTCAGTGATCTCCACCCAACCTTGGGGATTTGGAATCACCGAATTGCTTTCGCACCACACCTTTGGGAAGAGATATATAGTATAACCTTTGGGAAGAGATATATAATATATAGTATAAATAGAATAGTCATTGAAATCGTCCTTAAAATCATGAGGAACCAGCAGAACTTTGTTGGTAAAGGTGCCATTTCCCCCCATGGGAGACCTGCACAGGAATGTCCAAAGATCGAAGGAATCTGAGCATAGACAAGGTCCTCAGGTCACCAGCTGGATCCATGCCGTCAAAACCCATGGGTTTACCAAGTATGGTCCATCCCACAACGGGAATGTTCATAGTGGATTAGTGGATATATGATGATATTCCTGGATGATCTTTGTTAGGGAGTTGATGACCATTCTCCAATATGGCTATGCAATCCAACTTTACCGTGGCACAATGCTTCACCAACCTCAAATAAGCAAAGTTTGGGATGATTCCCCAAAAAATAAAATAGATAAACCAGCACTTTGTGGTGCACAATGAAGCCTTTGTAATTTGGCACCAAGAATATGTCTCATGGATCTTCATGGATGCCAAACATCCCAACAGCAACCAGCACCAAACAGGTCACCACCTGCGAACAAAAATATGCAGAAAAGCATCAGTTTCGCACTTTTCTCGCTGGCGAAGCGCTCTTTTGGGGCCTGGAATTGGTTTTTAGCGGTTGCTGGAGCCATGAACATTTGCTAGTTCTTGTTGACCTACCATCCTGTAGGGAAAAAAATGTGGTGCATGTTTTCAAATTCTTGAACAATCCAACTATGAGCAAAACCATAGCCAACATATTATGGAAGTTCACTGGGCAAAACAGAACTTTCAAAATTGTGGGGCGTGAGAGTTAGTAAACAAACAACTGGTCAAAACCTGGATTTGTCTGCAGAAGTGAATATCCCCAGTTTCCGCATGACACAATTCAGGTGGCTTTTCATCATTTGATCTCCAGTCCCAAAGTGGGCTATAGGCTCTGTTTGCACCTGTTGAGGGCTCTATTTTGCCCCGTTCTCTGACCGACCAGTTTCAATTTGGGGGTTCAATCCAGCATGTCGCAGGCCAGTTGCCGCCGGGTTTCTACTAAGAGGTTTCAAACCATCCCGCTGTCACTTTGCCAGCCGGTTTCTGCTAGGAGGTTTCAAGTTGACGTGTCACCAGGGTTTCAAACGAACACGTCTCAAGCCGGTGCGGGTTTGCTGTTGGCACGTTGCTGGCTGCCGGCCAACGGATTTCAGCGTAGGGTTGCAATTGAAGGGTTTGACAATCCCGTTCACCAACAAGTTTCAGCTGCTCTCTTCACTTTCAAAATGACGCGTCACCAGCTGGGTACGGTTTCGAACCAACATGCACGCAGCTTTCCGTTGCTGCTGGCACTTTGCCGACCTGCTTCTCCCAAGAGGTTGCAAATGGTTTCAAAGTCACACGTTGTCCGCCGGTGTCTGCTTGGCTTCCACATGCCGCTTGCACGTTGCCGACCGACGACCGGTGTCTTCTTTGGTTCCAAGTCAGCACTGGCTCTGGCACTCCAACTACCTACCCCCCTGTCCTTCCTACCCACCCACCCACCTACCTACCTACCTACCAAGCAACTAGCCAACCAACCCAACCAAACAACGCACCCACCCACCCACCCGCCCAACCAACCAACCAAACATAAGACTAGAACAAATCAGGGAAGGGAAGGGAAGGGAAGGCATGGAAACAAGGAACCAGACAAGAGAAGGCAAGGGAAAACAAGGGAAACTGTTCATTGAGTCCCACACAAGGGAAACTGTTCACTGGTTTTTTTTGGACACAATCCATCTTGTAGGGTGCTACATGTAAGGCTCTGGCACTTAGCGCAACGTGTCTTTGACGACCCGCGTGTCAGAAAGAAAAGTGCCTGACAGAGCCTGTCAGAAACCCACTTGTCCCCGAGATAAGGCCGAAGCCCCCAAACAAAGCCCCTGCCATGCACACGACGTGCCGCACCTGCCCTTAACAAAATCATCCTAACTGCACGGGGAAGGCCCTGAACCCACAACAATTTTCATTTAAAAACATGTTTCAACATGCCCCTACATCTTTGAACCCCAGCTTTCTCTTAAGCCAATCCAGGGTGATCGCGAAATCTGATAGAATCTGCACCTTGGACAACTCCAGATAGACGGCCAACAAATCGAGATCCTCCAGGTTGTACGCGAACCTCCAGGTGTCATGGTAGGTGGAATGGTCGCGTGGGTCACAGCGGTACAAAGTGGATGAAGTGGCTGAATATTAAGATATAGGTGCGGCTAGAGTGCTGGAGGTATAAATGATGATGGTGAAACATGATAGATGATAGATGAAAGATGATTGATGTTGATGTTGTTGTTGTTGTTGATGATGATGATGATGATTACGGTGGTGGTGATAATGGTGATGGTGACGATGATGGTGATGATGATGGTGATAATACGACGATACGTTGATGCTATGATGCTATGATGCTATGGTGCTATGATGATATGATGATATGATGCTATGATGCTATGGTTTTTGGTTTTGTGGTTTTTTTTGTGTCATGTTTGTAATGCTATTATCATCATGGTAATTATGGTGATCATGGTGTTGATGGTGATGATGATGAAGATGAAAATGAAGGTGACGGTGACGATGATTATGATGATTATGATGATGATGATGATGATGATGATGGCTATTTAGTATTTAGCATTTGGTATTGCTGCATTGTGACTACTCGTGTGACATGCATGTGCATGTATTACAATCAAAAAACAATAATGATAATGATAATGAAACAAACCTAGTGGTTCTATACGGAAAATTACTTTACTTCGTGTGATCCCCACCATGACATTTATACATTTTCTTACTGGCAAATCTTCTGGCATTCTATCTGACATATCTTCTGACATTCTATTTGGCATTCTATCTGGCATATCTTCTGGCATATGATCTGGCATATCTTCTGGCATATTTCTGGCATCTGGCTATCTTCTGGCATTCTATCTGGCATATCTTCTGGCATATTCTGACATATCTTCTGGGACATATCTTCTGGCATATATCTGGCATATCTTCTGGCATATCTTCTGGCATATCTTCTGACATATCTTCTCATATCTTCTGGCATATTCTGGCATTCTATCTGGCATCTCTGGCATATCTCTGGCCTATCATATCTTCTGGCATATCTTCTGGCATATCTTCTGACATTCTTTCTGACATTCTTTCTAACTTTCTTCTGCACATTCTTTGTCCCGTATCTTCCTACATGAGGTCCGGCAGGGAACACTTGGCGTGGATACTCGCGGTTGAGGTCCGGCAGGGAACACTGGGCGTGGATGGTCGTGGTTGAGGTCCGGCAGGGAACACTGGGCGAGGATGGTCGTGGTTGAGGTCCGGCAGGGAACATTGGGCGTGGATGGTCGTGGTTGAGGTCCGGCAGGGAACACTGGGCGTGGATGGTCGTGGTTGAGGTCCGGCAGAGAACACTGTGGATCGCGGGTCGCAGTTGAGCAAGGACGACGAGGACGACGAGGACGACGAGGAGGACGAGGAGGAGGAGGAGAGGAGGACGAGGCAGGAGGAGGCGGAGGAGGAGGAGGAGAGGAGGAGGAGGAGAAGGAGGAGAAGGAGGAGGAGGAGGCAACTGACATAAAATCTAACAACCCTCACCTGGCAGGTGGGGAAAAAAAGAAGAAGAACGATTATAAAGAAAAGTAATCAATAATTTTGAGAATAAAGAATCAGATTGTGTCTGTATGATGCAGGTATCTGTATAAAATCTCCATCCTATCTACGTCTTGTAAGCTATGTAAAATGATAATCTCTCTCGATGGTATCTAATTTCTTTATACATGTTATATAGATTATTCCGCTGCCATCATGGGTAGCGGAACACGAACTCCATCTCAGGTACGCATCATCTCCAAATACTGCTGGCAGCTGACGTCGACCATTTTCACTTCCAAACTGAATCGAGCCTTCCAAAAAAAAAGGAGCTTGCAACCAAGTCCGAGCGGGACAAAGCTTAAGATCCCAATGCCAGGCAAAACGGATTGAACGGACATGTTTGGTCAGGTCAAATCAGGTCAAATTGATTCAAATGGTAGGCAAACCGTCCAGTGCCGTCTGGCCAGCGCATTCGAGATGCAAGCGAGTTGGTGCCCCCCCCCAAAAAAAAATCCTTTTGCAAAGATACAGATGGATGTTTCTAGAATACCGGAACTCCAGAATTCTCGTGTTCGAATTGACCAGTTTGGTAGACTCTTAGGATCCTTGAGAAACACCCATATGACGGTAATTGGGTGTGCGTGCGTGTGTGTGTGTGCGTGTGTGTGTGTGTCTGATTCAAGACGCATCCAATAATTCCAACCCTCCATGGGAAAAGATGTGAGAAGATAGGTCTTTCGGCTCCAGCAAAGATAGGTGAATCATATTCAATAAAGTGTGTAAGCCTTATGACTTGACTAGGATGCGTCATATCTTACAACAAATCCCAAAAATGAAAAGTGGTCAAACCATAGCCAGTGCAGCAGGTTGGGATTGGTAAAACTAGGATTCGCACAATGACCCTCAGCTGTAAATAAGAAAGCCAACAAACTTCTGCGGAAAGTGGAGGTTGCACCTTGCACCGTTCAAGCCTGCAACATGGAACGCGAGAGTTGTGTAAATCATTGCCACCTGTGAATCCTAGCCTGTTAGGCCAGATCAGGTGTGTCATCCAACTCTTGGCTTCCTCTGCGTACAGCCATCTATTCTGTCTGTCAATCGTATTGTTTCATAGCGGATGACTGTCATTTCCCGGAAAAAACATGGTTTGGACGCATTTTCACCAGCTGTTCAACAAACATGAAGCTCTTTGATTTTAGTACCCCGAAACAACATAGAACAACATGCCATTGTTTTCAGTAGGATTTATTTTGGGGGTGCTACAGACAAAGCAAACATACCACACAGTTTGAAATCAGTGGGAAAGGCATGCCGTCCTGCAGTTGAAATGACCCCTGCCACCTTTGAATCCAGTTGCAAGAATCAATTAGTTAAGTTTTAAATTTTGTTTGTACAGGGTAGCCTGCACTGCATACTGCATGTATATATTTACCAGTGCCAACCTCTTTTCAAAGCAATTGATTTCCTATCGTTTGGAATGTAAAACAATGTTTGCAAAATGTTCAAAACACTTGGGTTGGCACGGTGGGGTACTTCAAACCTGCTTGTCTATCCCCTCTGTGAGTTTGTTTCCACACACCTGCTTTCCGAGCGTTTGCCCTGCTCTTGCTCTGTGCGAGGGTATAAACAAGAAGTTGCAAAGAATTACTCTGCGAGGTTGCTGATGTCGAAATGAACAAGTCCAACTCTTGTTGTCACCGTAATGACAGGCAAATCAAATGTAGTGCTGGCTGTGATGGAAATACTAGGCCAAATACTCCCAAATATCTGTAACGTGAAGGTGTTCTACAAAACAGCGGGAAACAGTTGGAAACCACACATTCGATGCATAATTAAAGTACCAGCACAGCTGAGATCAACTTTTGATGTTGAACAAGTGAGGCATCAATAATCTCCCTGCAATGGGTTGCAATCTAAAACCCAACAAACCAGTTAGTATAGCTTATTAAGCAATCAACAGGCACATATATATATATATTGTGAATGGGCTGTGATTCAGCTCCTGATCTTGTAGTCCTTGGGGTTAATGGTCGTTTCCGTGTGATTCTCCCTATCCAAGCTGCTGCGAGCGCTCCCTTTTCCATGTGCGGATGTTCGGCGTCTTGAGCCAGACAGCGGTGGGAAATGTGCTTGCTGTCGAGCTCACATGACACTTATTCTACATCCATGCAAGTGTGTTCCCGTTCAACATGCTTTCACACCCACCATGTCCAGCCCTTTTCAAAGACTGGACACAGAAGCGATTGGCAACTGAAACAAAAATGGGAACATTAGCCTCGAATTAGGCTCTGCTGTTTCGTGCCTACTCGAGCTATTTACAGTGCGGTATTAATTCGTAGCCATTGCGTGAAGGAAAATCCGAGGTTCACCTACCGGCCGTCGCACGATGTGCATACGACTTTCCGATCCCCTTCCAAGTTCACGTATTAACCGTCGTACGATGTACATACGGTTTTCTGATCCCTTGTGATGGATAAACTTCGTGCACCGCACTACCGAGATGTCCTATCTCAGCTTATATTCATCTTGAAAATTTGTACCATCGCGGCACAAAGGACGACTTCGCATCCTCATGCGTAGGTGTCGTGTGAATTAGCCCGGCGCTCAGATTACTCTCAGGCGTGCTCCACATTGAAATAGACCAAGCATATCTCACCCTTTTCGCCGCTTCTTCTTCTGAGAATCCTTGATGCTCGAAGTGGCTCCCTCCTCCGTGTTCTGATTGTCGGCGACTGCTCTGACGTAGTCTCGTACACGTTCTCGTTCAGAAGGATCAAGCGATTTGAAGCTCGCTTCCATCTGAGCTGCACTCTGCGTGACTGCTTTCAATTTGCCCTCCCAAATCCGTTGAAGTTGTTGAGGAAGTGCAAGTCCAATCTTGTTGAGCGTCACGAGAACCAAAAATGTACGTGCCCTCTCCGTCACCGCGCACGCCAACTCCACGGGGTCGAGGTGGATGTGATCATCTCATTCAGGTGGATTGATCCTGAAGTAATCATAAGATCGTACAGCAAATGTTCCAGCGATGATCTTGCGCATGAACTCTGCTGCATCCCGCCGGATTTCTAGTCGTCGTTCTTCATCTCCATCGGCGTTGTCGACAACCTTCGAATAGATGAGTTGAGGTGTAACTCCAGTCTGGACGAGGTACTTCATGATCTTACAAAGAACCTTTATGCCGCTGACCCCCTTCAAATAAACTTCAAGGTCCCTGCCGCCAACCTTGCCATTCTTCACGTTGATCTTGAATGACTCCTTGAGCTCATCTTCGGTGGGTACCCTTAGTTCACCTTTAGCATCTTCGCCAACGTAAGGAATATATCCATCGAACTCAGGAAGAAGTTTGATGTTCTTCACATGGTCGTAGTACGCTTGCGCTGAAGCCATTGAAGTCCAAGCATGAAACAGCTTATATTGGTCCTTCAAATAGGTGAGGATCATGGCGTCCATTGCTCTTGCCGTGCTGTCGATAGCGTCCTCGTTCTGGGCGGTGTCGATGCAATGGAGAACGGATCCTTGAATTGTCCT